TGCTGTCTCTCTGTTCAGGTTTAAATCCTATCTTGTTTCTTTTCAAGTACTTTTTACATTCTGTTGAGATGTTGTAATTTCTATCTGTGGAATACTTAGCCTGACACAAGCTATTATTCTGTTGTCAGAACCCAAGTTCCCCAACTGATCTTTTATTTTATTTTAAAAAGGATTTATTTATTTATTTGAAAGGCAGAGTTACAGAGAGGCAGAGGATGGGATGGGGGGAAGGAGGAAGGGGAGGAGGGAGGGAGGGGGAGATGGAGGGTCTTCCATCCACTGGTTCATTCCCCAACTGGCTGTAGTGGCTGGAGCTGTGCCAATCCGAAGCCAGGAGCCAGGAGCTTCCTTTGGGTCTCCCACGTGGTTGCAGGGGCCCAAGGACTTGAGCCATCCTCTACTGCTTTCCCAGGCCACAGCAGAGAGCTGGATTGGAAGAGGAGCAGCTGGGAATCGAACCAGTGTCCATATGGGATGCCAGCACTGCAAGCGATGGCTTTACCCGCTCCACCACAGCACTGCCCCCACCAACTGTTCTTTTAAAGACTTTGCCCTGCATTTTGAAGGCCTCTGTTGTTCTCCATCACAGCACACAAAGCCGTGGTGCCCTCGATCCTGCTCATCTCTTCTGCATCCCCAGTCCTATGGGGCACAGTCAGTTCTTTGGCAATGTCATGCTCTGTGCCCCCTCAAGTTTGCACTGTTTTTCCTTCTTAGGGCAATACTTATCTTCCTTCTGCCTGCTTACCCTTCAGATGTCAGCTCAGTGATCACTTCCCCGAGAAAGGACTTGCTCAGTCTGTGGACAGAGCAAACCCATGTCTTCCACCTGCTAATAACACTGAGTGCCTTTCTTGTAGAGCAGGTTCCCAGCGTTTGTCTTCACATACTTGAGTGGCCATTAAAGGAGTTTCTGCCCGTCTTCAGATGCCAATCCCTTGCAGGCTGATTCTTTCCACTCCTGGCTCGTATAGGTGCTTACTTTGTATGTTAAATGAATCAAAAGTAGGGGATGTGGGGCCGGAGCTATGGTGCAGCAGGTTATATGCCCTGGCCTGAGGCACTGGCATCCCATATGGGCACCAGTTCAAGCCCTGGCTGCTCTACTTCCGATCCAGCTCTCTGCTATGGCCTGGGAAAGCAGTAGAGGATGGCCCAAGTCCTTGGGCCCCTGCACCTGTGTGGGAGACCCGGAAGAAGCTCCTGGCTCCTGGCTCCCGGCTTCGGATCGGTGCAGCTCCAGCTGTTGCAGCCAATTGGGGAGTGAACCATCAGATGGAAGACCTCTCTCTCTCTCTGCCTCTCCTCTCTCTGTGTAACTCTGATTTTCAAATAAATAAATAAATCTTAAAAAAAAAGCAAAAGTTGGCCGGCGCCGTGGCTCAATAGGCTAATCCTCCACCTTGCGGCGCCGGCACACCGGGTTCTAGTCCCGGTTGGGGCGCCGGATTCTGTCCCGGTTGCCCCTCTTCCAGGCCAGCTCTCTGCTATGGCCAGGCAGTGCAGTGGAGGATGGCCCAGGTCCTTGGGCCCTGCACCCCATGGGAGACCAGGAAAAGCACCTGGATCCTGGCTCCTGCCATCGGATCAGTGCGGTGCGCCGGCTGCAGCGGCGGCCATTGGAGGGTGAACCAACGGCAAAAGGAAGACCTTTCTCTCTCTGTCTCTCTCTCTCACTGTCCACTCTGCCTGTCAAAAAAAAAAAAAAAAAAGCAAAAGTAGAGGATATTCCATTGTGCGTGGAAGAAACTTTCCAGTTGAGGGTTAGCGTACTAAAAGCCATAAGGAAGACTATGAGGCATTATGAGATATATCTCAAGTCATCTCACATTTCAGACCCTTAATTCCAAGATGTATTAATAGGTCAGGCTTGGACCAGATGATCTTTGAGATCACTTTTCACTTTCAAAATCCATGATACCCACAAGTTGAGACAAGATCATGGTATAGCGAATGGTAGTAATACTGGGTAGAATTGGAATGTTCAGCTATAAGCACTATGTGTTCTTGATCAAGCCTCTTGGTAGAAATGGCACTTAAGGACAGTTATTCTGGGACTAGTGGGTAGAATTATAAAAGTCCAGAAGTGATCAGATCATGGATGAATCTGATGAGGAAGCCCACTGCAGGCCAGACTTGGGAAGGGCTGGAGGTTTTCTCATCTCTTCTGTTTTAGGAGATAGACTGGGAGTGTTGGATGAGGAAGAGATCAGAACCTTTTTTTTTTTTAAAGATTTATTTATTTACTTGAAAGTCAGAGTTACACAGAGAGAAAAGGAGAGGCAGAGAGAGAGGTCTTCCATCTGCTGGTTCATTCCCTAGTTGGCCACAATGGCTGGAGCTGTGCTGATTCGAAGCCAGGAGCCAGGAGCTTCTTCTGGGTCTCCCCAGAAGTGCATGCAGGGGCCCAAGCACTTGGGCCATCTTCTGCTGCTTTCCCAGGCCATAGCAGAGAGCTTGATAGGAAGAGAAGCAACCAGTACTAGAACCAGTGCCCATATGGGATGCTGGTGCCACAGGTGGAGGCTTAGCCCACTATGCCACAGTGCTGCCCCCTGCCCCTATTTTTTTTAAGATTTTATTTATTTATTTGAAAATGAGAGAGTGAGGGAGGGAGAGGGAGAGAGAGAGAGAGAGAGAGAGAGACTCTTCCATCTGTTAGTTCATGCCCCAGATGGCTATAAAGGCCAGAACTGGGCTAGACTGAAGCCAGGAGCCAGGAACTTCATCCAAATCTCCCACGTGGGTGCAGGGGCTCAAGGACTTGAGCCATCTTCTGATGCTTTTCTTAGGTCATTAGCAGGGAGCTGGATTAGAAATCAAACAGCTGGGATATGAGCTGGCACCCATATGGGATGCTGGTGCCATAGGCAGCAGCGTTACCTGCTATGCCGAACTCTGGCCCCTGGAATCATTCTTAAACTACTTTTAATTTCTCTTATTTAAATGGAGCTTTCCCCTTTGAGTTTTTCTAGTGATTGGATTATGATTCAGGGGAAGAAATCAGAGTCAGGCTACAGTCCTTTCATTCTACCTGTGGTGTGTCCCCTCAAAATGTCTCACTTGGGGGCCGGCACTGAGGCGTAGTGGCTAAAGCCACTGTCTGCTATGCTGGCATCTCATTTGGCTGCTGATTTGAGTCCCTGGGAAAGCAGCAGAAGATGGGCCCCTGCACCTGCATTGGGGACCGGAAGAACTCCTGGCTCCGGAATGGCTTAGCTCTGGCTGTTGCAGCCATTTAGGGAGTGAACCAGCAGATGGAAGACTCTCACTCTCTCTCTCTCTCTCTCCTTCTCTGTAATTCTGACTTTCAAGTAAATAAATAAAATCTTTTAACAAAAAAACTTAAGTGAGATAGGGAGAGACAGGGCCTAAGCATGTGAGTGGCCCTTTGCTGCTTTTCCCAGGCCAGTAGCCGGCACTCAAACCTGGGCCCATATGGGATGCCAGCACTGTGGCCGGTGGCTTACCCCACTGCACCACAATGCTGGCCCCAAACTTCTGTCTTTTTACTGTTCTTTGTGGGTAGTTGTGAAACTTTTCCTTTAGCCCTATGGGTACACCTTTTCCTTACAGGCAGATTTTAGAATGAAGGGAGAAGCGAACTGAGTAATTTCAGAGAAATATGAAAACTTGAAGCTATGATGAACTTTGGGTCTTGAATTTTTTGTCTCTAGAGAGTATTTTACTTATAGTAATTCTTTGCTCTAGAACATAGTTTTGAAAGACTTTTCAAATAAATTTCACTTGGCTCTTGTTTATGTAACATTGTGTTTCACCATGTATCAAGGGGAGAGGATCCTCAGAATCTGTAAATGGGCACCAGGTACTGTGATGCTGGGCTTTGGGACAAAGTTTTGTTTGGATACATCATGGTCAGGATCCTAGACATTGCCCCAATAACAAGAGATTACCCAACTTTTCTTATTTCTATCCTTTTCCTTTTTTTTTTCTTTTGTATAGTAGTAATTCCTGGGAGAGGGGCTCTAGTGACATCTCTAACCTAGGTTTTCTGCTAATTCCCAAGACGTCTCTAGGTTTGTGCCCTTAATCCTGGATTGCTAGTGTTGAGAGTGAGCTAGAATACCCACAAGTGGATTCACCTTGCACTATGGTTACTTTTATTTTTTTATGGTTCTCAGAATACTGACGTGAGCTGCTTATATTAATGGATTTGCTTGTGAGGGTTCTTGGCAAGGTTATGAAGAGAGCAGTCAGAGCAGAGGGGTGCGACCCTCTGTGCTCTGACAATGGAGGTTTATTTTGGTTCAAGACTGTAGCTCACAGCTGTAAAGTCTTAACTTCCATATTGCTGGTACCTGGGGTGCCAGAGACACACCCTAGAATGTGGGTGTTGTTGCAGGTTGAATGCCTGTTGACTTGTGGCAGATAAACAAGTTTAATGATTCTTTTAGTTGCACCTACATGGAAATCCACTGGGGTCAGTGACAAAATGCAGAAACCAACTCAGTTTTGGCAAGTCATGCCAAGGAGCTCTCAAGAATGACTGCCTTCTTACACATTGACTCATTACAAGGGTAGGTTGTGCCTGGAGATAGGTCATCTGTAGTTTGTGTTGGAAGAATCTGTGGGGAGTGGTGAATGAATTCGGACCAGTAAAAGTCTTATATATCTAATCAGTCTGAAAGGCAAAGCTGGGCAAAGAAATGAGCAAGAATTTTGAATTCAGGAAACTCCCAGACATAATTCAATTTATTTACCCAGAACAATTTTGGCATAATTTTTCATGAGGAATATTCCTTTTTTCTTCTGTCATCTTTTTTTCTTTGACAGCTTCTGTCATCTTAAGCTTCTATTCTTCCTTGTCCTCTGTCCCTATGAGGTAAATAAATTTAGTGATTATTATAGTCATCGTTATGGTTGAAGACCACATATCAATGGGAACTTAGCATCTCTGTAGAATTTCACTGCTGTCTTTCATGCTGACTCATGCTTCTAGCCATAAATTATTAGTAAGCCAATCGAGTGCTGGACTCGGGATATGCAAATCAAGTTCTATCTCTGCTCTGGAGTGGAAAACCATTGCTTAGCCGTTGACTACAGATGGTGAACCATGATCCCTGCTTCCCCTGCTGTGAAACAGTGATGTGTTGGACAGGCTCTCAAAGACCTGAGGCCATCCTGGTGGTGTGAGGCCCTAGGAGGAGAGTCGGGGCTCTGGATCCCTGTCTCTTTTCTGAGTTAGCTTAGACAAATCATTAGCTTCTCTGTGCTTCAGTTTTCACAGTTTCAAGAATGTTGTTGGACTAAGTGACCTAGGACAGTGAAATTTATCTCTGTCATTTACCCCCAACCCAGGTATAATTGATTTCTTGCCTACTTTCCCTTGGCCTCACTTGATTTTTCCTGAAAAACGATGATCCCTAGTATTGTCACTGGGGACAGGGCAAGGTACCAAAAGACTTACCTCTCAGGAAGACAATATTTTTCACAGATATACTTTTGATGGAAGTTGTTTCTGTTGCCATTACAGCCAGAAAAGATGAAGGGCTCACACAAGAACGTGAGCGTGTTGTAGTAGAATCTGGTCAGGACTAAGTTACAGTTGCCCTTCTTCACTGGGTAGTTGCAGTACTCTGTGCGTAGAAATCCCAGAGTCAGGTCTTTGCCACCTTGTTGGTGTTGTTCCCTCATGGACTGACCACTAATGCTCATCAACCCATGTAAGTCCACCTGGTTTTAACACTGGGGAACAGTCGGAGTTTCTTGAGCATACATTTCTCTGTATACGTGATACAGGGTGATGATTCTAGACCATAGCCTGGGTTCATGATGTACGGAAGTAGCTGGGGAAGGACAGTGAGGTAGCTCTGCAACCTTGGAGTTGGTAGCAAGAAAGATCTGAGGTGTCCTCCGCTGCTGACAGGAATCCTTCTTCATGTCCAACCTACCCGTCTCCTGACCCTTTACACGCTTCCTAGGACCCTGGAAACGGACATCTCATCTGCTCCCCCAAGGACACACATCGCGGAGCCCCTACTTCCACTCTCCGACCCATCAGTCTCTAGGCTGCACGTGCCTACTGAAAGGATCCTTTACTCTATCTACGCCTGAAGTAGAGACTTAAAGTGCTTGATCTGGTGCATCTTCTTTTTCGCCATCAAAGTCTGTCCATTCCCATACAGCCCCACTCCCCACTTTGTGCATCCAGACTCACCTGGCCGTTCTGAGATCAGGGAGGTGGGTGTTTAGAGCAGGAGCCATGATGACCACGTTGGAGATAAAGGAGTTAATGTCAGTCATTTTTTAAATTATTAATATAAAAAGAACAGATCTCATGTATTTCATAGGCATAATTCTAAGAAGATAATGATACTTCGCTAATGTCATTCTTTAAGTTGAGCTACCATTCTTATCTACATTTGAGTGTTTCTCTTAATATTTATTTATTTGAGAGGCAGGGTTACAGACAGAGAGAGGGAAAGACATGGAGAGAGGTCTTCCATCCACTGGTTCACTCCCCACATTGCCACAATGGCGGGAGCTGGGCCCATCCGAAACCAGGAGCCAGGAACTTTCTCTGGGTCTCCCATGTGGGGGCAGGGGCTCAAGCACTTGGGCTATCTTCCATTGCCTTCCCAGGTCATCTGTGGAGAGCTGGATCAGAAGTGGAGCAGCCGGGACAGGAACTGGCACCCATATAGGATGCTGGCACTGTAGGCAGAGGCTTAGCCTACCATGCCACAGTGCCTGCCTAGGGAGTTTCTCCTTTGTACTCTGAGTATTTTATACATGCCCACTATAATTTGAATCAAGAGCAACTTAATTTAAACAAGTAGAATGAGAGTGTTCTAAGCATGCCACCAAAAACCTCTGCGTCTGTGTATCAGTTGAATTTAACACAGTGCTCCTGTACATCAATGCTGAATAGAATTGAAACTCTTGTAATAAATATACACACACAAACAACAAAGGACTTCCTGGGATATCCCAGCCATCAGTCCAATTTTCATAGTCCCTATTCCTCTTTTACTGAAATTCCCTAGGAAAAAGTTAGGTTGATTCTACCTTCTGTCTTCCTTCTCCTCCAACCCATAGAGGGAAATCAATTTAATCAGATGATATAACTTCTGAACCTTCTGGCTAAGATCAAGTGTAATTTAATCAGCCCTCGAGTCCTGTGTTTTCAGATACAGGGAGGACTTGATCCTGCTGGTTGGCACTCATACCCCAGGCCGCCTAGACTTCCTTCTCCTTCAGTTTCCTCCTGGCTTCCCCGTCTTTTTTGCCTTACCTCCGAGATGCCCACTTTCACACAGTTGACTCCTGAGTGGTTCAGGAAATAGGTTCCCAGCAAGTGTGTGGAGGAGCATGGAAAAGACAAGGAGCCACAGAGAAAAGTGGGTCCATTTGGGCTTCATGCTGTTGCAGAGGGTCGGTAGGAGAGTCCTGGGCTGGGCTGAAGTTATATCCTGGGAGTGGACCTCCCTCTGCTGGGAGGGGTTGAATCCATACCTCTAATTTAGTTTCCCCAGGGCTCAAGCCTGGGCAGGGTTCTGGTGCACCCAAAATCAGCCTAGTGAGTAGGACAGTCAGTGCTTGGGTACCCAGCCATGGAGATTGAAAGGCCATGGTTTCTCAGAGCCCTGCTGTGGAATCTCCCCCACCCCGCCCCTCCCCCTCTCCCTCTCCCTGTTTCCCTCTCTCCCTCTCTCCCTCTCTCTTACACCTAAGGATCATAGCCACTTATAGCTCAAAACATCAACATGTTTATAATGAGTAGTTATAAATCAATTGCTATCAATGCTTTAGCATATAAATGTGAGAATTTGAAAAAAAATTGGCTAAGCCAATCTGAGAGGCTGGAACAAAAGCAACAAAATAAATCAAGAGAAAGCAGACAAGATAGTTGATGAAGATGGTAATTACCTGAGTTTTTCATAGATGTCCTTTTTAAGGCTGAGGAAGCCCCTTCTGTTCCTAATTAGACAAGCATTTGTATCATGAAAGTGAGATAAATTTGGCCGGTTGCATGTTCTGTGTTTGTTGACTTGATGATGTTCTTTGTTCAGTGAATGTGGCATGCTGCATTGATTTCTGCATGTTGACACAGGCTTGTATTCCTGGGATAAATCCGCCAGATTTGGTCATAGTGTATCATTTTTCTATGTTGTTGATCTTTTTACTAATTTTTTTCCACATTTTTGTACCTATACTTATGAGCAGTATTTGTCTAAGTTTTCTTTGTGATGTCTTTGTCTCATTTTATAATGAGGCCTGGCATATACTTGTTCATAGATTTGTTTTCTAATCATTTTTGTTTCTATGAGAGCAGTGGTATTCTCTCTGATTGTCCCATCCTTGAGTTCAATAATTTAAGTTTTCTCTCTCTCTCTCTCTCTCTTTTTTTTTTTTTGTACTAGCCGAGCTACAGTTTTGTTCTTTTCAAAGGATCAATTTTGGTTTTATTGATTTTCTCAATCTCTATTTTTACTCTAAGCTTTATTGATTTCTTCCTTCTGTTTGTTTTGATTTTTGCAGAAAGCTTCTGAGCTTGGTAAAGTGCCTGCGCTTTTGAGATCATAGACAAGAAATATTCACCTGCACCATTAGCTTGAAGTGTTTCTCCTATGTTTTCTTCTAGAAACTTCATAGTTTCAGGTCTTACATGTAGGTGTTTGATCCATATTGAGTTGTTTTTTGTATATGGAGAGAGACAGGGATCTAATTTCATTCTTCTACATATAATCCAGTTTGCCAGCATCATTTTTTTCTTTCTTTTTTTCTAAAAAGATTTATTTTATTTATTTGAAAGACAGAGTTACAGAGAGAGGTAGAGACAGAGAGAGAGGTCTTCTATCTGCTGGTTTACTCCCCAGATGACTGCAATGGCTGGAGCTGTGCTGATCCGAAGTCAGGAGCCAGGAGCCTCTTCTGGGTCTCCCACGTGGGTACAGGGGCCATAGCAGAGAGCAGGATCAGAAGAGGAGCAGCCAGGACTAGAACCGGCACTCATATGGGATGTCTGCTTTGCAGGCCAGGGCATTAACCCGCTGAGCCACAGCACCAGCTCCGCCAACAACATTTCTTAAAAAGACTTTCCTTTCTCCAGTGTGTGTTCTTGGCATCTTTACCAAACTAGTATTAGTTGGCTGTACGTATGTGAAGTAATTTCTGGGCTCTCTGTTTTGTTTGTTTGTTTTGGACAGGCAGAGTGGACAGTGAGAGAGACAGAGAGAAAGGTCTTCCTTTTCTGTTGGTTCACCCCCCAATGGTCACTGCGGCCGGCGCACCATGCTGATCCAAAGCCAGGAGCCAGGTGCTTCCCCTGGTCTCCCATGGGGTGCAGGGCCCAAGCATTTGGGCCATCCTCCAATGCCTTCCCGGGCCACAGCAGAGAGCTGGACTGGAAGAGGAGCAACTGGGACAGAATCCGGTGCCCCAGCCGGGACTAGAACCCGGGGTGCGGGCGCCACAGGCGGAGGATTAGCCTATTGAGCCATGGCGCCGGCTTAGGTATTGGTTTTTATGCCAGCACCATGTTGCTTCAATTACTGTAGCTTTGTAATATGCTTTGAAATTAGGTATTGTGGTGTCTCCAGCTTGATTTTTGTTGTTGTTGTTTTTTTTTTTTTTTTTTTTTTTTTTTTTTTGGTTTGTATCACTTTGGCTATTCTGAGTCTTTTGTAATTCCATATAAATTTTAGGATTATTTTTAATAATTATATACAGAATGTCATTGGTGTTTTGAAAGGGATTACATTGAATCTGTAGATTGTTTTAGGTAGTATAGTTTTTTTTAATAGTATGAATTCTTGGTTTCTTCATGAAATCTTTATGATGTCCTTGATGATTTCTTTTCATCAATGTTTTATAATTTTCATTGTAGAGATCTTTCCCTTCCTGGGTTAAATTTATTCCTATGTATTTGATTTTTTGGTAGCTATTGTGAATTGGATTTATTTCTTGATTTCTCTCTCAGTGAGATCATTATTGGTACATAAAAATGCTGCTATTTTTTGTATGTTGATTTTGTAACTTGCAACTCTACTAAATTAGCTTTTCTTTTTTCTTTTCTTTTCTTTTTTTGACAGAGTTAGACAGTGAGAGAGAGACAGAGAGAAAGGAACCAACCTTCTGTTGGTTCACTCCCCAAATGGCTTCTATGGCCGGCGCTGTGCCAATCCAAAGCCAGGAGCCAGGTGCTTCCTCCTGGTCTCCCATGGGGTGCAGGGCCCAAGGACTTGGCCATCCTCCACTGCCCTTCCAGGCCACAGCAGAGAGCTGGACTGGAGGAGGAGCAACTGGGACAGAATCCGGTGCCCCAACCGGGACTAGAACCCGGGGTGCCTGCACCGCAGGCGGAAGATTAGCCTAGTAAGCCGCAGCGCTGACCAAACTAGCTTTTCGGTTCTAACAGCTTTTTGGTGAAGTGTTTAGGTTTTTCCATGTATAATATCATGTCATTTGAAAACATGCATATTTTAACTTCCACCTTTCCAGTTTTGACGTCTTTATTTCTTTCTCTTCAATAATTGCTCTCAGTAATACTCCCAGTACTATATTGAATCAGAGTGGTGAAAGTGGACATCCTTCTCTTGTTCCAGTTCTAAGGGGAAATGCTTTCAGCTTTTCCCATTCAGTGTGACATTGGCTGTTGATTTGTCATATATAGCCTTTATAATTTGAGGTATGCTCCTTGTATACCTAGTTTGCTGAGGTTTTTTAATCATGAAGAGATATTAATATCATGAAAGTATTTTCTGCGTCTACTGAGATGATTCATGTTCTGAAATATAGGCACAAGAAAACTTCACAGCTGTTATTCTTGTCACCATAGAAGTTCAAAAAGTCATTTCAGAAACATTTCCAAAAAGTAATTGATATACATGTCTATGCATTTTTCACTCATAAAATAGCTTTTGTTTTCCCCAGTTGGGAAGGATACCAACACTTCCACTACATGTGTTAAAATAAGGAAAATATGGTGCTAGTGCTGTGATGTAGAGGGTAAAGCCGCCACCTGCAGTGCCAGCATCCCATATGGACACCGGTTCGAGTCCCGACTATTCTACTTCCGATCCAGCTCTCTGCTATGGCCTGGGAAAGCAGTGGAAGATGGCCCAAGTCTTTGGGCCCCTGCACCCGCATGGGAGACCTGGAGGAAGCTCCTGGCTCCTGGCTTTGGATTGGCGCAGCTTCGGCCGTTGCAGCCATCTGTGGAGTGAACCATTGGATGGAAGACCCTTCTCTCTGCCTCTCCTCTCTCTGTGTAACTGACTTTCAAATAAAGAAATAAATCTTAAAAAAAAATAAGGAAAATAAGCATTTCCACATTGTCACCGCAAAACTAGCTTGTGGATAGTGAAATGTGTTTAATGGGCGTGACAGAAAAAAATTGCATATGGTGGCTTGTGATTTCTAAATGTCTGCTAAATAAAAACCTTATTTTCCTTGGAAAATGTGTACTAAGGGACAACACTATTGAAACTGACAGTGTGTGATGAGATGAATGACTGACGCGATGCAAATTCCCGGAACCATATTACCACTTTGCCCAACAGTTTAGAGTAAGAAATTAAGTAGGGCATGAAATATATGTGATTCTGGGTCAGAGACCCCTGCTCACCCATATAGGTTCAACTGGTCCTCTTGATTCTATCCACAGTGACTGTACATTACAAATGTCAAAGGCAACTGGAAGAATTCTTGGGGCATTGCAGGTTAAGCCACGGCCTGCAACCCTGGCATCCCACATGGGTACTGATTCGTGTCCTGGCTGCTCTGCTTCTATTCCAGCTCCCTGATAATGCACCTGAGAAAGCAGCAGAATATGGCCTAAGGGCTTGGAAGAAGCTCCAGGACGAAGAAGCTCCAGGCTACTGACTTTGGCATGGCACAGCCCGGGCCATTGCACCTATTCAGGGAGTGAACCAGTGGATGGAAGATCTCTCTCTCTCTCTGTCTCTCCCTCTCTCTGCAATTCTTCCTTTTAAGCAAATAAAAATCCTTAAAAAAAAAAGAATTTTTGGCATTGACTTTTGAAATTTGGCATGAGGATAATGGAAAATCCATGTGAATCCCCTTACTATCCATCGAAACAAGAAAATTAAAAACAATGCCTCATTCCTGGAGAAATGGTAGAGATTAGTATTATTATCAAAGAATTGAAAGATATCAGTGTGGAGACTATTGGTCACTATGGGTAGAGTATCTTTTATCCAAAATACTTGGATCAGGAGAGTTCCAGATTTCATATTTTTTTTTATTTTGGAATATTTGCATATGCATAATATAATATCTGTGGATGGGAGCCAAATCTAAAGGTGATATTCATTTATGTTTCATATATTTCCTATACATATAGCCTGAAGGTAATTTTATATAACATTTAAAATAATTTGTGCATGAAACGAAGGTTCAGGATGTGAAATATTTCACCTGTGGTGTCATATTGGTGCTTAAAAATTTTGGATTTTGGAGCATTGCAGACTTCAGATATTTGGATTAGGGATTTTCAGCCTGTATTAGTATAGTGTTTTTATGTGCCGTTTAGGAGTACTTCACCAAACAGTGGAAACATGGATCCATTGACTTGGGAACTGAGTGTGAAAACTGTCTTATCTGACTAGCCATGATTGACTTTGTCAAGGAAAATGGGATTAATGTGTCACGTAGAGAAAGTGGAGGATATAATTGGGTTCCCGGACTACCTAATTGTATCACTGTATTAA